TTCAGAGAAAAAGGAGGATTTTCCAAGACAGATAAGTTGAAGTGATCCCGCTTTGATCTCAGCGGCTAAGAATCTCCCACAATAGAAGATGGCCGGTGAGGGGCCGCGCCCCCGGCCTTTTAACGCCTAACAATGGCATCAACAAACAGCTACTTAATCAATATTTGGCCAGAGCTCCTGAAAACTTCCTTTTCAGATTTTAATTCCTAGTTGTAAAACAACCCCAGAGCAACCCTTGAGATAAGGCATTAAACTGACTGCTTAATTGCCTTTTAGTGTCTTGTTAGTTCTATATCTACGTTCTTAATGGTTCTTTAATCTTTATTTACCGGCAGAAAGAAGTTATCTCAGGTAGACCTCACCGAACAGAACCTTCTGGGGCCCAGCCCTGGCCAGCTTCGCTCTCGCATCCTTTGTGTGTTTGCAGATGCGGTAGCTTTTTCACGAGTTATTTACTTATGTACAACTGAAACATCTAACCCCATAGCTAGGAAGGATTTTTGTGTGTGCGTCCTCAAAATACATGTGTTCGTGGACGGTGACGCGCGGTTGGGGGCCAGCCCGCCGCCCACCTGATCGATTCTGCGCACCGCCCTCTGCGGAGCCCGGGCGCACTTGCCGGTTCCGCCTCACCGCCCCGGTGCGTTTTATTGCGCAGCCCTGGGGACCCTTAAATAACCCTTCGGTCACCATTGCGCACGCGGAACCCCTATGTCCCCGTCCCGGAGCTATCGCCGATCAAATCAAGCTCCCAAATAAACATACGATTTCAAGCATTAATGAGAAAATCTGCATGTTTTCAATAAAGCTAGAACGTAAACATACAGCAGTCAACCCCGACAAAACAAACAAGCGAACAAGAGACGCCGACAGCCAAACGCTGCTGCCTCCTTCCCGACCGCCCCGTCCTGGAAAAGAGTGCGGCACCGTCTTCCAGCCTAATTCAAGTTCTAGCCCCGCCGACGTGTTTTTAGCTGTGTTGTTGAGCGTTGCAAAGGACTTCGGAAAACCTGTTATTTACCCTAAAGGGTTGATGCTGGGGTCACACTCGTGATTCTGACAAATGAACTCGGAGAGTGGGCTGTCCACTGTAGTCAAGGTTCCGAGGCCACCAACCTGAGACCTTATACCCCACGATTTCCATCTGTGGGAAGGTCCGCCCGCCAGCCCCTCGCCCACTCGGGGCGGGGGGAGAACCGGCCTCCGGCTGCTGTGGATTCCAGCGGCACTGCCGTCAGTAACCAAGTGCTCATCTCCTGATTCCCCTGGAAACGAAATACTACTTCAAGATCCTTTAGAACTTTCCTGCGTTTTTCATGGCGCTATCTTAACTCCCCTTCCTCGAGAAGAGCTCAGGTTTACAAATAGAATAGGACGGGACTTGAGCGAAACTTTCGTCACTTTAACTTTGTCAAATCGGGGGAAAAAAAAAAGCGGCACCGTTTTTCATAAATGTCAAAAAGGGAAGGGAGAGGTGTGAAAAAAGTGGAAGCCCCCACCGATCTATGCTTGGGGGTCTCTTAGATCAAGCTTGGAAATTGTTGCAAAAACTCCCACGCTCACTGGCAATTGTAAAACGGGGGAAGTCCTGCGTCTCTCCAGCCTCAATGAAAACATCCATCCGGGGATCTGGCCTCTCTCCCCCTGCACCCTCCAGCGCCACCTCGAAGCCGCTGCAACAAGTCAGTGATTGTAACGTTGCATCTAAATATTTAAGCGACGGTCTTGCAGTCGCGTGTCCATTTACAGTCCTCATCTGTCCTCTAATTCCATTACGGCACAGGGTAAAAATGTTCCCCAAAACTCACAAACAGGAAAAGCGTCACTCTGATGGAGGAGGAGTAAGAAGAGGAGCAGGAGGAGGAGGAGAAGGGGGGGAGATGAAGGAGCAGTTTCTATTGATTAGTCACTGCTTTGTGTTCAGGGCTTTCTTTAAAATAAAAAAAAGTGAGGAGAGGTTGCAGAAATTTCACTAATGTGAGCCTCAGGCAAGGGAGGAAAAAAAGAGAGGAGGGGGCGGGCTGTGTCTAGATGAAAGTGAGAAGAACATAAAGGAGGCGATTGAGTCGGCTGCAGCCCGGCGAGCTAAGCTGCAAGCCGGCCGAAGCGTAAGGGAGGGGGCGGCGCGGCGCTTTGGCGCAGGGCGCAGGAGTGGGGGCCGGCCCATTGTGGCGGCGCCCGCGGGCCGGGGAGGAACAGAGGCGCCCATTGAGTGGCCGCAGAGCGGGCCGTACCCGCAGCCCCCGATGCTGCGACCGGGACTTGGCTCCTCCGACTGCTGCTGCTCGGGTCTCCATGCCAGCAAAGGGCTGGGCGGTGGGGTGTTGGGTGTTCCCTGGCTGCGCAACCCTTCCTCCCGAAAAGAAGTTGGAAGAATGGACCCAGCAGGGGCGCACAGGCCTGAGGGCACCCCGTCCGTCCGCTGAGCTGCTTTTGGATTGGGCGAGGGACGAGGGAAAGTTGGGGAAGTGAAAGGGGCCATCTTGGGAAAGAGCAAGACCCTGGAAAGAAGAGCGAGGTTGGTTCTGCCCTCTGTCGGGGTGCCTCTCCCCTGCGTCAGACAAGCGGAAAGATGTCCCCTGGAAAGTCGGTTGTAGCGGCACCCTCAGGGCCCACGAGGAAGCAGGGACCTCCAGAGAGAGCGCACCGCCCTGGCCAGGGCACCTAAAGGCCCCTTCTGCGCCTCCGCCAGGGCGCTCAGAGGTCTTGATCCACATTCATTCTATTTTACAAACGAGGTGACCTGTGAAGTTTGACGCTCAAACAATAGAGGGGATTTTTTGAGGTTTCTAAACTTCCCTTCAAACTACTTTCCCCTCTCCTTTCTTTGCGCCCCTCTTGCCCTCCAGGGTTCACCTGGAAAAAAGAGCTAGAGGCGCTGGAGAGACTGACGCTGCATCATCATCCTTGACAACCCCAAATTAAATTAGGCTTCAGCTTCCGAGGTGTGTGCGTGTGTGTGTTTTCAGCGGTACAGCTCCCGCTGGGAAGAATACTCAGATTTTTTAAATGGTAGCAATTGCCCTTGAAAGGCAGCCGTTCCAGCTAGACGGCCCAAAAGACTAGAAACATTTTGTAGGTGAAATGGCCACTTTTTCCACGCTGGAGAGTCCATAAAACTTCCTGGCGCAGCACTATTGGGGCTCATTGAATAATTCATCCCTCATTGCAAGCCCATAATGTCTATTCGTGGCCCTTTGTGGGGCTGTTTTCTCTTCTTTTCTCCTTGAATTATAAAAAGGTTGCCTTCCTTTGTTCACATCAAGCTGCTGCGAGCCAGAGCTTTGTCTGGGCCGAGCTAAAGTGTGAGTTTCAATGGACTCTCCAGGCTTTGTCTCCCAAGTTCATCTCCAAGTGTAGATTGTGTAGAGAAGGCCTTCTTTGTAAAAGCTGGAAAAGTTGTACAAATGTTTGACCAGCTCATTTGGGGCGTTTTGTCTCCCGGACCTTGGCTGCCTGTGCTGCGAGGGAGCCGAGGATCTGCCGCGCCCCACACCTCCAGTAACAAGTAGCAAAGTTGTGCCTCCCCCACGTCCTTCCCAAGCCTCTGGGACTCTCTAGGCTCCTGGCCCCACTGCCCAGAGTGGCTCACTGGTTTGGGGTTGGCTGGTTTCTTGCTTTTCTCCCTCCCCAGAACCTCCATGCTGTACCTAGGCCTGGAATAAAACCTGTGTCTTCTCAGAGACTAGGAAAGGGAGGCACCCCTCTAAAAGGAGGGGCTCAGGCTGAGACCATGTGAGACCCATGCTTTCAAGGGTGGGAAGCAATCTGCCAGGATTTGGGGTATTTTTTTTTTATTACTGCCTGTGTGTTGTGCCAGAGCATCTAGGCTTCTGTTTACCCCCGAAGGCAGCCATTTGTACTTGTAACATCTACAACTAAGCATCCTTTTGAGGCTGTGTACTGATTTTGTGTTGGTTTCTAAAGCCCACGGGTCTGCCCAGGGGTTGGGCAAGGAAGGTAAACGAAAGGACCATCCACAGTCCTGCATGAGGGCCACAGACCCAGCTAGTCACAGTGTGTGACGCTCCACGCCCACCTGAAGAGTCGCCTTCTAGAGCAACTCACAACCCAGCCCTACAAAATCCAGGCCCCAGGTAAGGGCGACCTGGGGATTCTCCACACTTTGCAAACCTGAAGAGGTGCCAATCTGCTGAGGTTCCTCCTCCATACGGTCACCCCTTCCTGGTCCAACACAAAAAGGTCGACTTTCCTTGGGGGGGGGAGGGGCGGGTACCGTTAGAGTCTGGAGATGACCCACAGCACGAAAGGGCAGGCTGAACTCCGGGTTCTGAGGGAGAGATCTTCTCTTGGTGCTGACAGGTCACAGCCAACGATAAGTGGGTGGCCTGCGCCCTTGGGCAGAGAGGGAGCCTGCACTGAGGGTACAAAACCCGGATCCCTTGGGTGTAACCCAGAGCTTAGGCTGTTTTACTTCCAGACACACACAAATCAAAACCCAATCACATTTGAAAACCAATTTAAAACAAAGAAAAAGTAGCCAACTTACACATTTAGAAGGGGAGTCCACGTGAGGCAACTTTGAGGGCCCAGCGCCTATGAACATCAGGCTCTCTCTCTCTCTCTCTCTCTCCACCCCCACCCCCCTCACTCCCTCCTCCGACGTGCAAAACTTTTCCCGAGGGCTCAACGGTTCCCTCAACCTCGGAGGCATCTCAGACTGTCTCTCCCCAACCGCTCGGAGCCGCCCAACCCCGTGCTCCCGAAGGCAAGGCCCCGCACCTAAAACGCAATTCGAAGTTCTAGACTCCCGAGGCTGGAAGTGATGCAGAGGAAAGATGTATGAAATAGAGAAAGTAAACAGAACAGAGATTTGTGTTTTGATTGCAAGTGCGTCTCTCACTTGAAGGCGCTTGCCCGGTTGCAGGGGGCAGGCGCGAGGAGACCTGGACCCGAGCCGGGGCAGGGCCGACCTCCGGCTCCCCGCGCCGCTGTGCCCTGTTCTCCCAGGCGCCGGCCCTCCGCGCGCCGCCGCTTACCTCGCTCGCTCAGGATGCCGTCGATGCTGTGTTTCGCCTTCTTCTCGCTCTCTTCTGCCTCCTTCCTCTCCAGGTCGACCTCCTCCTCCTCGCCTTTCCCGAATTTACTCCTCAAGATTCGGCTGATGGAACTCACTGGGGGTGGGAGGAGGCAGGCAGCGCAAAGGACTGAGAAGTGCGGGGCGACGCAGGGGAGCGCCCGCACCTCCAGTCCGAGCCCCGGAGTCGCGGCCCCGCGGAGCTCACTCCTGTCTCCGCCTGTGTCGCGAGGCCTCCACGTTTGTCGATCACCCCCTCAGCCTCTCTTCTAACCCACCCCACCCCCATAACCAACACCTAGAAAAAGGGAGACCCGAGCCTGGGAAGCCTGCGCTTCTGAGTGCGGGCCAGGAACCGCCGTTTCTGTCCCTGTCTCCCAGCAGGAAGCGTTTCCTTCTCGACTCTATAGACAAGGCTCAAGGTCTCCAATCCAAGAGAATAGTCCCGCCAGCCCACCCTCCACCCCACCCCCCCTCCACTGCCACCACCTGAAGGCATTGGGCGGGCCCAGCGTTCCCGTTCGGGGAGGAAGGCCCGCAGCGGACCCTTCCCCTACAATTCAACTTTTTTTTGTTGTTGTTGGAGGCTATAAAGGGTTTCAATTTCAGCTGCAGAACCGTTTCCCATTGTAAAAATCAAAAGAAAATGCACTCTCCCCCTCCCCATTTATTTTTTCCAGATTCCAGTGTGGTAAACAAATCCATGCTCTGAAATATCTCGTTCTCTCAGTGGGGGGAAAGGGAGTTTCCTTTTAATTAAAAACAAACTCTCCTGAGAGCCCTCGCTCTCGGCATGTGCTCGCCCCTCTCTCCCTGCGCCACCCACGGCTGCCGAGGGGCGCCGGCTGGTCCCTGGGACCCTCGGGGGCACTGCAGGCCCGCGCGGATGGAGCCTTCCCTCCTCAGCGGACACCGCAAGGCCTCTGCGGCCCAGGCCCATCTCCTTTCGGTGGGGGTTACCAAAACATTTGTTTCTCTTTAAAAGGGAACATCCATATTAATAAAGGCTTGGCCCGCGCCTCTGGTGTCCTGCCCCGTTTCCTGGGCAGAAATCCTCTTCGGGGACCCCTCCGCGGCGGTCTCAACCCCAGGACAAGCAGCTCCGCGCTCTCTCCAGAAAACACTGGTTCGTGAATATTTCAGGGCCCTCGGAGGAGCCGGCTCCCGATGGCCCAGATCGATCATCGGGGTGATTATAGCTTAAATGACCCGCCCGAGGAATAGCGATTTATGGCCTCGCCTCAGGAAGACGTTAATGGGCCTGATACCTGAGGGTACGGTGTTTCGATCACAGACCGCATCTTTGAGTAATTTGTCTCGAATTTCCCAGCTGAACATGCCCGGGTTCTCTCTTTTGTATTCCTCAATTTTCTTCTCCACGTCAGGCGTTGTCACCTGCTTTAAGAGAACAAGCGGGCAGGTGTTGGTACCCAGTCCTCTGGGCGAGATGTGGTGGCCCCACTGCCTCGGAGCCAAATGCGTCTTCCCGCACCCCCTGGGGAGGTTCTCCTTGTTGGCAAAGGGGATCCCAAACTCTGTACGGCAGTTTAATTTTAGTTAGGGCCAGACACAAAGTCATCATACCCCGAAGCAACCTGGGGACCCTCCCCTCCCCCGATAAGCTGGACAATCTGGGTAAGTGAAAAAGTGGGGTGCACTTTCTGATCCCTGGAAATATGGCAAGGCAATTCCTTACACAAAGTCAACATGAAAATGAAACTAAAAAAAAATGCTTGCAAGAGAAGCAGAGAAATCAAGTTAGATCTGTGACTTTCACCTCTCAAAAGGAACACAGGATTTTAGCTGAAGTGAAGAGCCAAATGAAATGCGGAAGGCGAATATCTAAGTTTTCAAAAACTAGATCAGAAAACAAATGGGGATAATTTGAGAAACTGGCTCTTAATTTTTTTCCCATTAAAAGAGTTTCCAGAGATTCTTGGAGAGGTTACAAAGGGCACTGAGGAGGGAGGTGGTATGCAGGGCGTTCAGAAGTCTTAAGTTTACCAGAACTCTCCTTTTGATTTTGCCCTGTGGCAACTACAAAATTATATTGTGTTTTGCCCACATTCAGGAGAAAAGGCAGGCCCGATGTAACCCCCTCCCACTTAGCCCTAGACGGTAGGACTCTCTCTTTTCTTTTTTAAAATGGAACCAAAATAATTTGAGTAAAGCATTACACCGGTTTTTGTTGTTTTTTTTTTAAAGTCATTGGCTCATTTCAAAGAAAACAAATGATCCTCTTTTGACTTTTTGGAAGACAATTTGGACTGGAAGAGATTGGGGACAGAGGTTGGGAGAGAAACCATTTTTTAAAAGCAGAAATGACTCCTTGGATTAGTTTTGTGAATGGAGGTGCAGTCAGTGGAAACTAGGCAGCTACCTGGGGAAGGAACCAGCAACAGGTGGACACCTACACTTTGTTGTTTGCCTTTGAATATAATGTGCTGAGGAATTACAGGGTTCAGGGCAATAAAATTATACTGAGTCTTCCTTACAAAAGGGCTGGAGTTTTCCCTTGGAGTTTATCAAGGAGCCTCGGCTTAGCAGCAACGAAGGACCCCCACACCGGCCACACACACACACACACACACAACACCTCCCTAGACTTGAAAATCGTCCCTTGAAAAGTCCCAGATGTCAGTCCTTCCCCCAAGCCTGCTCTTCCCGAACCCCGAGACAGCAGGCTCAGAAGCCTTCAGAGCCAGCTCGCTTGCTCACCTTGGGCTTGCTGCCGCCGATGGCCCCGGGACGGATGGAGCCGGTCTCCTGATACCTGCACAGGATCTTAGAGACGCAGCCGTGAGACACGCGCAGCTGGCGGGAGATGACGCAGGGCCGGATGCCGTGGTGGGCCATCTCCACGATCTTGTGGCGGATGTGGTTGGGCAGCGGCCTGCCGTTGATAAATACACCGCCGAGCTGGTTGACTCGGCCCTGGCCGAGGGGGGTGGACACTGGGGGCAGAAGGTGAAAAGACAGTCAAAAGGAAAGTCATTTCAGGGGAACTGAGGGGAGCGACCAGAATGATGAGGCCGCCTAACTTCGCACCGTGTTGATCAATCCGAATGGTACAGCCCGGGCACCTCCACTGCCCACATTCAGCTCCCAGCCCCAGACCCCTTTTCAATCGCATTTATTTAGAGTATCAAGCCATTCAGGGCCACATAATACTGTGTGAAGGGAACAACCAGGGCAAAATAACTCGTGCCAGAGAAACTGTCTTCCCTTTCCGCTCAGGTAAGGTGGCACCTCTGGGGAACACCAACGACCCTGCGGCGGGCAGGAGGTGCGTCTTGCTCAGGAATCAGCCTCCTGGTAGTCAGAAGTTCACCCAGGCTCCAGCCTCCTGGAACTCTGCTCTCACCAAATTGTCCGACTAGCGCTGCCCCCTTTCTAAGGCACCTGGAGGAGCTGACAGCCTTTGAGATTTTCAGCTAAGAGTGCAGCAGCCACGGGTCAAAAGGAGTCCCAAAAGGAGGCCGCAGGTGGCAATGCTTGTCACCTGTTACATCCCGGGACAGGGAGACAGCTGGACTTGTGCTCAGGCCCCCTTGCCTCCAGCCACGCTCTGGGTGTGACATTCCACTCCGGACCCAGGGCAAAAGGCACTGAACCCGCGTTCCGCCCCGGGCGCCTCAACCTCTCCAACTGTCAGAAAGGTTTGGGCTTGCAAAACACTTCCTGCGTCCCGGCGATGAGCTGAACCGCAGTTACCCGAATGGGGCATGGAAATTTCAAGATGCCGCTTAAGAAGAACGAAACTCTAAATAATGAATTAATGCTCAAAACCCCAAGTGCGAGATCGCAGGCCTCGATTTCATAACTTTGGGCTGGCAAGAAAATTCTCCCACAACTTAACAAGAGTTTCGCAAATATGGGGGAAACCGGGACAATCTGGGGACAACTTTGGGTGCACAGAATGCAGAGAAGTTGCTTTCTGGTGCTCAGAGGCTGATTCAGCCCTTCCCCACCATGCTTTGTGGACCCGCCTGGAGCAGGCCCGGCCGCCAAACTAACTGCACGGGCTCTTTTCGAGAGAACCGCGCTGAGTTTGCGGAGAGAAAATCGGCTGTGGCTCTCGCCCTGACTTCCCTCCCGGGGTAAGGGTGCCCAGGCAAAAGTGTCCCTGGCAGCGCCGAAGGAACCTTCGGAGATTGCGGTTGGGCGGAGTAGCCGCGGCCCAGTCCGGGGCTCCGGACGCCGCTGAGGCCCTCGCTTACCTTCCAGCGGGAACCCGCTGCGCGGATAGTTCTGCCCGGGGCCGGGTCGCATCATCCTGGGTACAGCTCCAGCCAGCGTGGTCATCCTAAGAGCAGTTTCCCTTGGAAATTATATTCAAGCGAAGGCGATTCAGAAAGGCAAGAGCGGCGCTGGTGGCCCTCGGGAACTCCCCAGAGAGTGGGGAGCCCCTCCCCAAAAAGGCTGGAGAGAGGGAGGGCCGCGGCGAGGAGGACTGTTCGCTTCTAGTCCAGGGAGAAACTTGAGGTGGAACCAGGCTGGGAGGCCCCTGAGTCCAGGATCGGGAGCCCAGGGCGGAAAAGTTTGGTAGGAGTCGAGGCGAGTGGCCCCGTGGCTTGGGGCGCTGGGGAAGGGTCTCGGCGCGCCACAGCGAGCCAGGGAGGGGGCGTGGGGCCCGGAGCGTGGCCGGCCGGAGTCTCCTCCCGTCGTGACAGCGAGTGCGGGGATCCGGGCTCTGGAGCATTTATTAGTTCTTTCACCCAAAGCTTGGTCAGGAGCCCTGAGCTGCGATTGGCCGACGGGGAGACCGTCCCGGGTGGCGGAGACACGCGCTGATTGGGCGACAGCGGCCACTTTCTCTTCCCATCCCCGGCGGTGCCTAGGCCTCCGCCGGCCCCTGAGGGACCTGCGCTGCTCCCCTTCCCCGGGAGACAAGGAGAGACTCGCAGAGACTGGGAAGGGCAGCCCGAGGGAGATGGCAGCTGCTTAGAGTGGAGAGGGGTCCCGTCCCTCCGTCTCTGTTTGTCACTCCATGTACTTCGTGTTTCTCTCCTTGTCTGTTTCTCTGTCTCTTGGTCTCTTTCTGTCTCTCTGTGTGTCTTCCTCCGTCTCTGATTCTATTCCTCTCTAGGCATCTATGTCGACATTTCTCTCTCTCTCTCTCTCTCTCTGACTTTCCTTGGCTTTACTGCCACTGGAGGGGGTGCAATTCCATCAGAAGGCATTGAGAACCTAGAGACATGTGTAGCCTCCCTTCCTCTGGTCAGTGCCCCTTTGGCCTAGGCTTGTTAAGGGGACCCTCCCCGGTTCCTCCCAGGAGGAGTCCAGGCTGCCCCGATCAGTTCTTTTGTCTTCTCAGTCACCAGACAGGGGTACTCTGAAGCCCCAGCAGATGTGGGGGAGGCCTGGGGCCTGCTAGTCGAAGGCTTGGTGGGGAAGGGGGGAGGGAGGAAGAAAACTGTCTCCTCTTCTTGATTGAAAAACCCACTCGATGAAGCCCCAGCTATACATCTCGATGTATAGATCCCAATGCTCTGGCAGAGATGCGTCTATATGTTCAAGTTTTGCCCGGCTGCGGCATTTGTTCTCAGGAATTTATTATGGCATTCAGACTAAACTGCTGGAAAAATAAAAGGAGTGAAGTCTTGGCTAGGAGCTGAAGTGTCCCCAGCAGGGTATGACGCCAGGAGTGTTGTAAAGACTGTCTGTCCTTAGAGAAGGTACCATTGTGCATAGCCTTTTATTTATAACTTGGTAAGTGCCAGCAAACTCGCCTCCTTCACACCCCCAGTGCCAGCCCCGCGCCCCGCGCCGAGCTTTATTCGCTGGAGTCTATTCAGGGACTGTCACTCCAGGGCTGCGAGGTATTCAGGGCCTTAATCAATCAAGAGGATGAGAATCAGGCAGGTTTTTCCCTTTGAAATAAAGGAAACAATGACCCCTGGGCTTCAAATTCCCCCTTTTACTTTTACAATTTTTGAATTTTTCCTGCTCTGGCGGTCTCCACCCCTCTCTTTTTCAGTCCTCCCTTCCCCCAACTCCTTTGACAGTTTTTAAGTGAACTCGGTCTCCCAACGCCTTAATTAAGGCAAACTCAGAAGGCAGGATGGGGACGGGGTGAAGTATGGCTGCGCAGTGGTCTTCAAGTTGGCCCTTTAAAAATCCACTCCCTACTGGGGAAAGCAGGAAGCTTTGGTCTGGGCTCAATGTCAAAAGACTTGCTTGACCTAAGAGTGGCCAAGACAGGCCTCTGGAGAAGTGCAAAAAAATTGTGGACATCCCCTCACTATGCTTGCACAGGGCCCCATGTGAAGCCCGGTACAAAGAAGAGGTGATGCTTAGAATGGACCTTTGTTCAACCTGGCTTTGTAGAAAATGATTCAACTTGTCAAGGGGAAAACTGTCTCATTACCTTTTCGCACTGGCCGGGCAACTGAAGTCTGTGTTCTTGCCTCTTAAGCCCCTTTTCAGGAATTGCGTCTCAGGAGACGGACTTTTTCCAAGTTTTCTGTCTCCAACAGGTTTGAGTGAAGCAGATAGAGCTTTTTTCTGGAGTCAGCATTAATTGTTGGGGGAGGGAAGTCCCGAAAGTGTCTTTCGAGAAAGTAAAAGGAACTTCAAGTTGTGGCTAAAAGGAACCTAGGACAGCGGTAAGCGGTTAAAGAGTGTCGTGGGTTGTCTCATCTTTTTTTTTTCTTTTCTTTTCTTTTTTTGCCTATGGCTTCTTGTTTTCGGGCCCTCCGGGTGCTCTCCTCAGAGCGCTGTATCTGCGGAGAGCCGGCCTGTCCGGGAAGGAGCGCGCTGGCTGTAGACAGACTCCTTCTCCCGGTTTGCGCGTCCTTGCCGAGGCGATAGAGCCGGGAGGACCTTCGAATGGAGGAACTAACCGTAGGACCGGATCTTGAGTACGGGCATCCACACACCGACCACCACTTGCTATAAAACTGTGCAGATGGAGGCCTCCAGGGTGTGTGGGGGTTGGGGGCCTGCAGCTCCGGGGTTCTCCTGCCTCGCCCCTGACGGAGCGCTCTGAGGTTTATACTAACCACAGGGTTAGCTCGGCCCTTTCCCACCCGGCACTGGTACCGGCCAGAGAACCCCAAGAGCAGGCAGCGGGGCCGAGACGGCTGCCTGCCCACTTCCAAAGACCTCAGGAGTTCAAATTCCCTGAGGTTGGCGTCCCTGAGGTTTGACCGGAGAAGGCCAGGGCAGCGATGTTGGCTGGGGCTCCCTGGCCGGTCGGTGGCGCCTTCCGAAGCCACGCCAGACCAGGCCCAGCGCCAGCCGGGGTACCGCCACGAGATACGAGACGCGGGAGGGCAGGGTGGTCCCAGATTTCCCCGACTGGTTTCGAAGGACGCACCCCGGTTCTCCACGCAAGTCATGCCTTCCCTATCTCCGAAGCGTGGACCTCACCTACTTCTTCCCAAGTCTCTCCAGAAGCCAAAGGCACCCCCTGCCCACAGCTCCCTGGAGCGGGGACGGATTCCCCACCCAGCGCCCCTTCCCCTGCCCGGACCCTGGGAGCCAGAGTCCCCGAACCAAATCTGGCCACCGTACAGGCTCTAAGTGGCGAGAGAGTGACCCGGCAGCGGGCGCGGAAGACGAGAGCGCCTGTGCCTGCAGCGCTGACCCCAGGTTTGGTGGACGGCATTTCTCCATGGGGACGAATTACCCAGAAAGCAGCCAGAGGGGTTCTAAGACCGTTCCGTGAATGCGCTGTGCTTCCCACCCCACTCTCTGTGCACGTGCGAAATGAAACTGGAGTTTTGAGGACAAAAGTAGGATCATTTAATTTTGAAAAGGGGACTTGTCACTGCCTCCTCTGCCCCCAGTTTCGGAGGCACTGCAGGTACAATAAACAGCGGCTGCATGTGCACGCTCGGGGTGGGGGCGGTCATGCCTCCTTTACTTGAAGGTCCTCCTTCTCTGCGGGTTTGGATGCAGTCCAATCGCCGGGGGGAGGGGTGTCAGCTTGGGCCGCGTGACATTTTTCAGGGCACAGCCCCATGACTGTGGGAGCCGGGGAACAAGTGTTTCGTGTCCTATGGACTTCTCTGGTCTCTAAAAAAGGTAGCTGGACTCCACTTGTAGCTGGACACAGGCTTTAAGAGGAAATTATGATCTATGTAAAATAAGGTCCCTAACCCAGGAGGGTATCTGCTCCTGCTACCCAGGCTTCCTCCCCACCCCCATCTGGAGGGCTGACCGGCCTGGCCGCCTTCCTGGTCTCAGGCATCACTATCAAGAAGCTGTCTGAACTTTGAACCAACACCACAAAACCATGAAACCCTCAGTTTCGAAGAAAGGCTTTCTCCCGTGTTTACCGGGAGGAAACCTAAAGGCCAGGTCCTGGACCACGCGCCTCGTACTGGATGCGATGATACCGGATCAGGGACTGCGCGGGTTAAATCCGCCGCGCGTCGCAGCCTGGCGCAGCGGCCCTCATTAGGCACCCGCCGTTGCTTGTCAAAAGCTTTGGCGCCGCTGTTCTCCCCATTGGAAAATCAGCCGGGATGAAGGGATGAGATCGGATTTAGGGACCGGATGAGGATACGGGCGCTGCACCGAAATGTGGGGTGAGGCCAGCAGCAGTGTTTTGGCCCCCGTGGTGCCCCGGCCGCTGGGGGAACGGGCCAGAGCGTGTGAGAGGGCTCTCAGTAAAGAACATATGGTTTGTGGGAAGAAAATAAGACAAAGTAAAAGGGGGAACGGGAAAAGCCAGGAGGGGAAGAAGGGAGACGGAAATTTTTGTTGTTATTGTTGTTAAAAGGCAGAGAGGGAGGAAGAGAAGGAATATCAAGACAACTTGTCACCTTACAGACGTTTGTTTGGTCCTGCAAAAAATATTTTAATGCAAATAGGGAAAACAAGACTGTAAAGCCTGAATCTCCAGGGGAAAAATTGGCTCGTAAAAATAATTAGAGTAAGTTCCCTTTAATCTTCAAAAAATGTTCTCCCCAACTTGGTAAGACTCCATGAGGGAAATTCGGTAACTGCTCTGCTAGCTTGTGTATAGGCTGTGAGCCTACCGGGTACTTGAGGGGGGGAGTTAAGCATTGGGGGGTATACGAGGGGAGGAACTGGCTGGTACTGGGGGAGCCTGGGCCTTGGGGGCAAGAGGAATCAGAGTGGGGGCAGGAGCAACGTTGGGAGACTTGGTCAGTACTGCTGGGAAAGCTGGAGGGTCTGTCGGTTTCCCTTGATGTCTGGAGCAAAAAGGAAGGGAAGTGACCACTCCAAGAACTTCTGCCTCAGGATGTTTGGCCCCGTTTTTGGACACAAAAAGCCCCGACTGTGGGTCCCCCTCCTGAGGCCCTGGGAGTTCGGAGGACCGGAGTGAATGG